GGCAGGAATGACGTTTTGCATTTCTCATATAAAAGAAACCATGTGATATGGAAGCCAGCCTATACGCCTGATTTATTTCACATAGCATTGAGTCTCGAGGTGCATCCACTGTCCTACAAATGACTCATTTGTCCTTTTTGTGGCAGAGTAATACTCCATTGCATTTAGACACTACATTTTTTTTATTAATCCATGTAGTTTTTTGTCTGTGAAAACCCTATAAATGTTATTTAAAATATGAAGAAGAGTGTTCAGTAATTAGAGACCTACAGCTTTTCTTAATAGAAGGATATAGTACTCTAAAGATACAGCCTTAAGAAATTACAATCAGATTTTGAATATTTCAGAGATTCAAATAATCTTCATCATCAGTTTGAAATGTTTTTTAAATTTTCTCTGAAATTTCTTCCTTGATTGACAGATTATTTATAAGTCTCATTCCATTTTGAAATATTTGCGGGGGGGTTGAAGATTTAATAATTTTTGATATTTAACTATGCTATAAGTAAGATACCATAATCTATATGCTTTGAATATTTTAAATGTATTGAACCTAGTTTTATATCCCATTGTGTACTGAATCTTTTTAAAAAAATTTTTTTGCTTTGTTATCTCCCGCGCTCCCACCCCGCGGCGCTGGAGGTTGGAGCCTGGCCCTCGAGCCCGGGGCTGTTTGGTCACAGCGGGTGTTTGTCTGTGGAATTCTGCTGTTACCTGGATATGTGCAGTCAACACAGGCGCTCTAGCTGCCGCTGGTGGCGAGCGTGCGCCCAGCCGGCGCTTATTCAGGGCTGATTTGTCCGCTGACCTAGGAGAGCAGAGTGCGAGCTCTGCAATCGGGTAATTGTACAGTAGCCTCTTTCCTCTCTGGAGGGAAAATCTGTTTTCTGAAGCGTTGGGAAGCGCCGTGGTGAGATATGGGGTGGGGGTGTGCGTGTAGACCGTTGCTAACCATGCCTAATTTGAACTAAAAGTGAAAGTTTCTAGTGACCGCGTCTTAAGCTGGTAGTGTCACAGCGCAAACAAGGACATACATTTCTGTCTCACTTTTAAGCAACTCTGGCTTCATAATTAAGCTTCTTGTGGAAGCGTGGTTTGGGCTTGGGTTTTATGGTCTGATCGACAATCTTGGAGTTTATATTAGGGTGTTTTGTCTATTGCAAGTTAATATAGATATTAATATGGTTAACTGTACATCTGCCGTCTCAGTATATCTTTTCTGATAGTCATATTTGACCGTGTCCTTTTTGTCTTCTTTTTCTGCTTTCTTTTGCATTAAGAGTATTTAATTAGCATTTCACTTTATTGCATTTGATTTATACTCTGGCTCTGTGTGTTGGATTTTGTTTCTGTTTGCAGTTTGTAGTACACATCTTCAATTTATTGCAATCTTTTGAGAATTAATACTGTACTATTTTATGGATAATGGAAGAACATTGCAACAGTAGAATTAATTTCTTTCACTTTTCTGTCCTTTGGGCGATTACTGTCATAGATTTTACTTCTGTATGCATTTATCAACCATGTAGCACAGATGTTCCTCGGTTTATGAAGGAATCACTTCCCGCCAACCTGTAGTGAGTTGGAAATAGCGTCCTGTCTAAACAGCGCTTCAAACCTTTCCATGCTGAAATGCACCACGAATGTTTAGCTTGGCTTTACTGTTGGGTGAAATTGTCTGATACTAAGCCTGTTTGTGTAAACTGTTGACTAACTCATGCAACTTACTAAATACTGTACTAAAGGTGAATGCTATCAGATTTTAGTAGCATCATAAAATGAACAAGCTCTCAACTGAACCATTGCAAGATTGTGAACTTTAAAGAAATTTAAAAACACTGCCTTTACATTTGCATGCATATACAATTCTAGCCAGTGTTTTTTATTCCTTTATGTAGGTCTTATTTTGTTTATTTGGGAAAGGCTGAATCCTCACTTTGCTCACAAACTAGATTTTTGTTTAAAGGTGTTTTGTTGTCTTTCGTCTTGAGTTGTCTGATGAGAAATCAGACAGAGGGTATTCCTGCTTCTTCCTGTTTTAAATGCAACTTTTTTTTTTTTTTTTTGGTCTTTTTCCTTTTTATCGGTACCAGGGATCGAACTCACGACTGCCTGCTTGCAAGTCAGGCGCTTATGCCGCTGAGCTAAATCCCCAGACCCTTAAATGCAACTTTAAAAAAAAATTATTTAAAAGAGAAAAAAAGCTAAACAAAAATGGGTAGAAATAATACAGAATTTCAAAAAAATAAGCAGCAAGAAATCACTAGTTGATAAATTACATATTGTCCTCTTAGAAAATAGTTGTTCAATTTACAAAATTAAAGCATACAAATTGGACATGCAAACAGTGAGACTGCAAACAGTGCTGTTCAATGATCCAACAGAAACCTAGTAATATGGTTATCAATCCTACACACTTAAACATTCATACAGTTATATCCTTTAGAGCACTTTCTTTTCTTCTCTTTTACAATACCAATTACACATTTTGGGTTGTATTACTCCTACAGTTCTTATTAAATGCAACTTTTATTTGCATTTGTTTTAGCTACTTGTGTCTTCATATTTGTTTTCTTGCTTTATTGAACTTTTTGGATATACTTGAGATATAGATATATGTGTATATATATCTCAGGTATATATATATATATACATATATATATATATACATATATATATGTATATATTTGTATCCAGGTATATATATATGTGCATATATATGTATCCATACATATATGGATATATGATTTTCATCTATTATGGAAAAAATTGACCACTGTTTATTCAAATACTATTCTTTGCCTCATCTTTTTGGGAATCCAAAAGATGGGAATACAAAACTATATATATTTATATGTGCATTATATAATACATATATTGCATATTTATATATGCAACATATAATACATATATCTTATATAATATATAATATAATATATCTTATATACTATATATGCACTGTATTGTATATAAAGTATATATTATATATTTTACATATAATCTGAATAATATATAGATATATAATACATAACATATGTATTATATATAATATATGAGTATAATATATAAAATGTTATATATCAGATATACATTACATATAAACTAAATATGGTATATAGTTTATATGTTATATATATATATATATATATATATATTTTTTTTTTTTTTTTTTTTTTTTTTTTGCAGTGCTGGGGTGCAACCCAGTCCTTGGATATGCAAGGAAAGCACTCTTCTTATCACTGAGCCACACTCACATCTCCAGTTACACATATTTTCCCTTGCATTTTCTGTCTTTTTTCTCCACTTTGATGTTATGAAACACCAATGTCTTCTAGGCATTAATGAACTGTAACTGCTGGGTTCTTTCCTTGGAGAAGTGTTTTGTGACTGGTCTTGCAAGGTGTCAGCTTACAGTGCATAGCTTAACATTTGGCTAAAGATTGGAGAGATCCTTTGTGCAGATCTCAGAGCCCCTTGGTTCGCAGTGGCTCCACAAACTCTTGCCTGTGTTCTAAACTGAGAGAGAGCTCAGCCTTTGGCTTGAGATTCTTCTCCCAGCACCAAGGGTTGCAAGAGCAGAGAGATAAGGCTGTGCTTAATGTAGGGTCACCTCCTGGCTACTGCCCCACAAGGGATCACAAGTATGCACTGTGCCCTGTGGAATGTATGCAAACAGGGATTTCATGTCACTTGTCCAGCTTCTTGCCTGCTCCTGAAAGAAAAGCTGTTCCCCTATCAGTGACTCCACAACCATGGGCGGTTACCTCTGCAAATTTGTGTTGTTGTTGTGTCATTCATATTTTCTAATTTTGCACATGCATATATGGGAGCCAGATTAAGTTTGAAGTGCTACTCTTGTAGATAGCAACCTTGGTGAGCTACAGTTGTGAATCATTTAATGATGGGAATATGTTGGATGGAAACGTGTGATCACGGACTTGTCATTATGTGAACCTCATTGTGTGTAGTTATGCAACCCTACATGGCATAAGCTACTCCATACTTGGAGTACACAGCTTAGGTCTGTGTCCTGTATCTGTCTGGAACTCCAAGATCAATGCTATACTGGGGATTGAGCCCAGGGCCTTCTTCCTGAGCTACCTCTCCAAAGCCCTTTTTAAGGTTTTATTTTCTTTTTTGAGACAGAGTCTCCCTAAGTCACTAAATTGACCAGGCTGGACTCAAACTTGCCATCCTCCTGCCTCAGCCTCCCAGAGTGCTGGGATTCTAAGTATGCTCCACCACATCTGGCTGTTTTTTCTTAACACATATATTTGAATGTCATTGACTTCCACATCGGGGCTTTGGCCTTGAACTGATGCGACACTCTAGCTACACAACTTGAGACAGAGAACTTTGGTGATTTCCGGCCCATTGTCTCCTATTCCTAGGCTATTTCTGCTGTCACCAGTGAATGCCAGTTATTGTCTATGGTGGCATGTCTGTGTTAGGTATGACACTTGCAGCTTTATTTCTTTGTGTTCTTGAAGCCAGTGAGAGTAAGTGAATTTAAGGTATAGAATTAAACTCATGAATATTTGAAGAGTGAGTTCAGTTGTCAGAGTTCATAAAATGTTTTTATAAGTTCTCTGGATACACTCATTTGCAATATTGAAAATCTCTGTGGGGCCGTGGCACAATAAAGCAAGACTTCCACATCTGCATAACACGAAGAGCTTATCGGTACTTACCGTTCCTATGCTGTAGGAGAAGCAGGCAGAAAAGATTTTGGAGGTGGGGAGGAGAGGGGAGGGCAAAGGACCTGAGCTGATCAAGATATTGTATTCGCGTACCCATCCTCCCAGAGAGTGGGCAGATATTTATGTGTTGCAAACATTAATGAAAAATGATGTGAAAAAAGGTCACCATTCCTTGAGGGGAATTATGTCACTGAAAATTTTGATTAATTTTACTGTTTTCCTGTGATTTACCACAAAATGACTTCTTAACATGATGTTGCTCTGCTTCAATTTCAGAAATTCACATTCTTTCGCTTGATAATGGAGGGAGATGACGACGAAATAAGAAGGTATGAATTCCTGACCGCTGCAGGTTGTGGCCAAGCCTGTGCCCGTCCCATCACCCTGTCACATCTAGTGATGCTATGGGAGAGGTTGTGTGGTACCATATGGGAATAGATGCCATGTGGAGAGTCCATCTTTTGACGCTGGGCTTGCCTTAGGGCTTAAATTCATCTGCCTTTGAGAGGATAAATTAACTTACTTTTTCTGATCAAACATCTAAAATAAATTCAAGTGCACTGATCAGAAAGTTTTGTCGACATTTTCGGTATGGTCTGTGGTTTTTGAAGGTAAAATCAAAGCCCCTCCAGTGACATTTTATGGCTGAGCTGTCTCTAAGGAGGCGCGTTTGCTTTGAGAGAGCCTCTTGTGTACCTAATAGGGCACTGAGGAAGTATGTTTCTAATCAGAGCCAGCCTTGTTAAAGCAGGTGAGAGTCTATGGTGGCTCCACGTTTACATTCAAATTAATCTGAGCTGGATTGATTGAAGTACTGCTTGGGCCCCTAACAGAGGCCCTGTGCCAGGGTTGCTCTGTAAGAACCGGGGACAGATACGGTCCCTCCCATAAAGGACTCACAGTCTAGGGGCAATCAAATGTGCTTTATTTCTTGTTTTAACAGTACTTTCTTCAATTTTATTTGGAGGCAGAGTCTCATGGAGTTGCTTGGGGTGGTCTCAAATTTAAAATTCTCATGTCTCAGCCTCCCAAACAGCTAGGATTTTAGCTCTGCATCACTGGGCCTGTTACTCTGCCTTGGAATCAAGAGCTGGACCTTTGCTCAGATATTGATGCAGGCATCTGCTTCTCTCTGCTTATTTCCCACCTCGTATTGTGTGCTGACTGAATTCCTAGCCCTAGCTTTGTCATCTGTGTTCTTGCTTGTTTTGTCCATTAGGGAGCTGGCCGATAAATTTGCAAATCTAACGAAGGAACACTATGATGAAGTGTTCGAGCGAATTCGGGCCTTGATACAGCGTCATGGCTATCCGAGGAAGGATGGCAGACGCAGGTCACTGACAAGCCTGATTTCCTCTGTCTGCATGAGCCAGACCTCGGACCCCGCAAGCCAGGCCTCCTCTGAGATTGTGAACCAGGCCGACTTCGGGACCATGAACAAGGCTTCAGAGTCTTCAAATCAGAGATCTTCTGAGTGTGACAACCAGATCGACTTCACGACCGTAAATGACAGCTGTGAGTCTTCAAACCACGCCACTTTTGAAACCAACAACCAGATTGACCTCGCAACCATGAACGACAGCTCTGGGTCTTCAAACCATGCCTCTTTTGCATCCAACAACGAGATGGCCCTCACGACCACGAACCAGGCCAATTCTGCAAGCACGAGCCAGACCTCCTTCTCGAGCGTGAGCCCGACCTCTTTGAGCATGAATGAGACCTCGTCCGGGACCACAAGTCTGACTTCCTTGGAGACAGTGAGCCCTGACTCCTCTGACACCACAAAGCAAGGTTGGATTTGGGCCCCCAGCCTATCTTACAGCTCTGTGCATGGCCATATTGAAAATGAGTGGTGGGTGGGGCAAATAAATCGTTCCCTTCTTAGGCCTTCTTGGGAAGCTATCAATGACATGAAATCTCTTCAATTTAAAGAAACTTTTTATCTCACATATATTTTATTTATTTCCATTCTTGTTGATGTTCACTGCAGTAGGTATCATGGAGGTTTTTGCAAAAGTAGAGCATGGAAATGTGGGAAACACCAATGCAATTTTGAGTTTTAGACACAGACACAATAAGGGTTGCTCAGGGCAGTATAGCTCCAACCTGCGAAGTGAGACCTGTAATCCTCCAGGTAGCGGAGCTCTTAAAACAGGAGTGCATCAGCGCCCCTTCGCCCACGTAGTCATGCTGAGATAATCACAAATCTTGAAATCGGTGTTTTCTTGAGCCCAGGATATCTTAACCTAGTGCTGTATTTCTGAGCCCCCATTCACAGCAAAACTTCTGGGAATTAGGTGACAGGCCTTGTCTCCATCTTCCTTCCGCACTGCAGCACTCAGGGTGGATCTCCCACTGGTCTCCACCTCACTTCAGAGCTTTTGTCAGGTGGCCTCCACGTGGCCAACTTCCTTGACCTTCGCAGTGTCTGCATCTTACTTCATATTCAGATGCATTCGACAGCACTGGGGACCAAGTTCAGGATCTTCACCCTGAGCTACATTTCCGACACTTAGTTATTTTACATCTTGAAACAGGGTGTCATTGAGTTGCTAAATTGCCCAGATTGGGCTCGGGCTTGCAGTCTTCCTGCCTCAGCCTCTCAGAGTGCTCTCCCTGCTTCTTGAAACACCTTTCTCTCAGCATTCAGGACCCCATGCTCCCTGGCTTTCTCTCTTAGGCCATAGGTTGCTTCGTTTTTGTCTTTGTCATTCTGCTACTTGTTGCATGTCCCAGGGCTGAGTCCTTACATCTGTTTCAGCAGTGTTCAGGCGTGCAAGGTTCACTTTGTTCACTGTTTTGCTCGGTAGATTTCCTGAACTTCTTGCCGGCCTACCTGACATTCTGTACCATTTCACCAGCAGTTCCCCAGGTTCATATCTCTCACTTTTGAAGGAAGTTCCTAGCTAGATTTTCTGTTTCTCCACTCTTGTTCCCTGCATTACTTTTCTTTTCTGCAAGTAGCTATAGTGATATTAGAAATTCACCACATCACTCTCCTGCCTCAAAGTACTTGATGTTTCACTCAGAATGAAAAATCAGCTCCTTACCATATATCTTACATGATATAACCCTGTCATAGCACGGTGCTGCCCAGAGCTTATAATGTAGAGTTTGGCTTTGATCTGATGCTGACCTCTGACAATGCCTGTGGGAAGCTCACATGGTTTGATCAGTCTGCAGGCTGGGACACTGTAGAGAAGCACTGAACTTGAGACAGGCCTGCCACTAGTATGCTTCCTTTTGCAGACCATTCTGTTCCCTGTCTGCTTACACAGCCCCTTCTGTCAGTCAGCAGTGAGGCTCTGGACTCTTCCAACTGAGTGAGACCTCCCTCTGGCCCAGTCTCCCCCAGGAGTAGAGCTGAGACTCAGGTGCCTCAAGAAAGTAGCAGCCACTCCCCATAGGGTCCTTGTCAGGGCAATTTACACTTGAAATAGGGGTCAAATTGGGCCTCCAGGAGCCTTTCTTTTCTCAGCGAGGAGACAGGGCTGTTACTCCTTAACACTGATGTTGAGCTCTTTGAGATTTCAGCCCCTCTGCTGATGAAGTTAGTGGAGGAGATGTGGTTGGGAGGGAGAGCCAGGAGGCCTTGCACAATGGGCTGGGGGAATGGGCGCGCAGCTAGCCTTGTCAGAGATACCTGGTAAGGCCTGAAGATACAGCACTGAAGGGCTCTTGCTCCAGGCTGAGCTAGATGCAGCTAAGGTGTGTGTTTTAGCCGGAGGATGGGCTCTGAGTCTGTGTGGAGTTCTTGACTTTATCTGAGATATTGAGGATCTTGGGTTTGGTAGAATCCAAGAGAAGGAGAGAACTGGAAGTTGAGAAATCGTAGTTATTGGATAAGTCATAATGTATGTAGCAGAAATGTAGTTGAATACTCTTCACGTTCTTTCCAGTTTCTACCATTTCTACGCTTGTGATCACTTGTAAGGAATTGGTCTGCATTAGACCCTTCATTAGCACCCAGCCCTGTCTCATGAGTTTTTTTCTGTAAAATTAATTATAACAGAAAGGGTCTAATACCCATAGCTAATAATTGTAATGTGACATTTTTCTATCCTTTCTTCCTTTTTTAAGAAGAAGATCTGAGCATGACAGGCCGGAGTCGTGATCTGGATTGGGTTCCGACATTTTCTAACCTTGACAACATGAACTATGTAATGCTAAAGGTAAGGGTGCTTTTGTTCTTTACTTCTTATGTACAATACATACAGTAGAAGACACAAAACAGTGTGTGTCGATGTGTGACTCAGAGACAGCATCCACCAAAATCAGGTAGGGAACTTGATCAAGACACAGATTCTAAAGCGACACCTTTAGCTCCTTCAGTCCTTTGGGTTGTAGTCTCCTATGCCTCAAGGTCAAGAGTCCGCTTTTCTCATGGGCTCCTGGATGCTGCTTACGCCGGTTGAGCTTTGAGAACCACTGGTTTTAAGTTATAGCAGTGTGAACAAGTCCTGGTAGAGGTTAGTAGGTGATTGAGTGAATATGTAGGCTCCAAAGAGTAAGGATTCAAATCTGTCTCTCTCAAGGATGTGAAATGTTGATAGCTCGTGTTTCCAAGAAAACTGGTGGGTTTTACTAAGATAAAAGACCCTAGTCAGACAGATGGGAACATGTATTTTGTCGCGTTTCTCATTCACTCACTGTGAGTTTTAAGTGATTCCCCTTCTCTGAATCTTGATTTCTTTCTCTTTAAACTAGGTTTAAAAAAATGTGTGTAATTCACTGAGCTGTCGTGAGAGTAAGATCAAGCGGATATTGTAGAATTTTTAGCGTAGAAGTGATGAGCTCAGGCCCTTCCCCCAAGGTGCTAGCTGGCCACCTGGCACTGTGGTTCTCACTCATCATAACAGAGCCTGAGACAGGTGTTGTATAGCTGGACCTTCTCAAACCTCCCCAGTGCTGGAAGCAGAATTTTGTCGACTATGGGTGTGTGGAGTCATTTTGGAATAAAGATGCTCCACAATTTATGGTGGGGTTAGTTTTCAATAAAACCATCATTAAATTGAAAATACCTTAAGCACAAAATGCATTTAATAGACTTTCCCTACAAAACATCACGCTTAGCCTAGCCGACGTTAAATGTATTCGGAACACTTCCATTAGCAAATAGTTGTGCAGAATCGCCTAACCCGAAGGCTATTTTATAATAAAGTGCTGAATACCTCTTGCAATTTCCCGAATACAGTGCTGAGCGTGAAATAGTTTCCTTTAATGCCTATCCTTTTTGCACCTTCATACGTCGAAAAACCCTAAATTATAACCTGGGGGCTATCTGTACTTCATTTTACACCAGTCTGCTGGTGAGTGTGAGGGCACCCTTCTGCCTTTCCAGCAGCAGACTCCCCCATTTTAATTTGATTTAATTTATCTTTGGTGCTGGGGTTGGAACTGAGGATCTGGTGTTTGCTAGCCAGGAAGTCTACAATTGAGCTGCAGGCCCAGCCTTACCTCAATTTTGTTAAGCGGGTTTTGTGCTAAGGGATCCGATGCACAAATGTTTACTACAGAGAAACCTCAAAATGTGTTACAAGATACCCTGTTACTAATTTCATAAAACTCGATACTTGTTTAAAATATTCTAGAATATTCTAGAAGCCAGACACTTTCCAACTATGCCCTGAAGGAAGAGTTATTTTCATGAGTAGGGAATATATGGTATTATGTCGGGAGAAATCATAATGTTGGGGAATCCAGGGAGAGGGGCAGGAGTAGGCTGCTTGTTTTCACTTGTCATTTAGAGCACGGCTTTGGTCATCCTTGCAGCATGAAAGCAGAGTGTAGGGAGAGGGAAAGAGCAACATTTGTTTGTTTGTGCCTTGACTAGGCTGTGCCCAACTTAATAATGGTTATGCTGAATGATATTTCCCTTTTATGATGGAACAAAAGTGCTATACCTTCAGGAGAAGCCATGTCTTAGGTACTTTTCTCATTGCTGGGACAAAGTACCCAATGCCCAAAATTAAAGACAGGAAGGTTTGGTTAGTGTGCAGTTTGCAGAGGTTTCAGTGCATAGTCGGCTGGCTCCTCAGCTGTGTCGGGTGGCACGGCCGAGGGTGCGTCACGGAGGAGAAACAGTTTATGGTAGGAGGTGGTAGCAGCTGCAGCCTTCCTTCTGTCCCTTTGCACCCCCCCATCCAGGCTCTGAGCCTATTGACCAGTCCCACCCACACCATTATCCATGCCCTTAATCCCAACATCGCACCCTTGATCCACATTCACCACCCTGATCCAGCTACCTTTGAAACGCCCCACCTATGACTGCATCAGGCTTTGGGGGGACATCTGGATACAAGCCATAACACCATACTTTGAAATTTTAAAATCTTGTGGTGCTCACGACCTCGTGCTTTCCAGGCAGTCACTTATGCCACCGAGCTAAATCCCCAGTAACACATAAATCATTAACAGATCTTTGGAAGCCTCTTCCTCATAACCTTCTTTTTCCTCACCACTGCTCGAATCATTCCTTGCCTTTTCTTTGTATTTCTAGGATGTGTGTATCTCTGAGTGACACAGTTCTGTTTTTCTGTTTTTGACCTTTATTTCATTGGGATGATAGTTTATGTGTTCTTCTGTGACTTGATGTTTTAAAAGGCTGTTAGTCTCCTTTTCCCTTTATTGTGGAAAGTTGGTACGTGTACACAGCACGTCTTGACTTTTTCCCTCGCCTTTCCCTCCCACCCTTCCCTCGCGGTCCCCTTCCATTTGTAGGAGCTCTGGTCCACTTTGTTCCGATTCTTTTCTCCCATCCTCTCTCCCTGCCCTCCCTCTTCCTCCCTGCATCCCTTATTCTCTCGTGTTTTTGATAGCATTTCTTTTGCAGCTGTTGTGAGAGCATCCCAAGGTTTCAGTGGGCTGTGCAATCTCATGAGAGTCAGTGTGAGGGGAAAAGAAAAGCGGGGCAGGGAACGGGAAATGGAATATAAGGTGGTTGCTCACAGGTTCTGTGTGGGTTCACAAGAGCACACAGCTGGTTGTTCAGTCACTTGGTACACCCTCCATTTAAACTGTGTAAAGGCAGAACTTCAGGAAGTGTTGCCCCGAGCAGCACTTAGTGTGTGGGAGGAGGCCCGGAGACTACCTACCCATTTCATTGGGTCTCATGAGTCAGAGATTACACAGAGATGATAACGACTGCCCTTCCCAGGATCTGGCCCTTTAGGGAACTCAGCAGAGAGGGTGTGGTTTTTACCAATCCAGCCACAGTGGGTGGAAGCCTGCCCTGCGGGTGGCATAGGAGGCTGCAGAAGCTGCCTTGGTGGAGGTGGGAGGGCTGGGGAGGGCGGGTGCAGCCCCGCTGAGGCTGTGCCCACCGAGGCCGGGGTGAGTGCAGGCTTTCGCTGCATCAAGCATGTGCCAGGCTGCACAGCAGCAAGAGCGCTTCTAGGTGAAATCACTGCAGGCAGGGTGGGTGGCAGGGTGGGTGTGGCTACCCTCTCCACAGTAATGGCGCATGAGTTGACAGATGCTGGGGTTGATCTCTGGCCTCAGTGGTAGTGGGTGAAGGTTGTTTCCAAGGCGTTGTTCTGTGTTGCTTTGTTTTCTGCGGTGCTGCGGCTGGAGCCCAGCCCGTGCTCGGCAAGCCCCGTGCCACTGAGCTACCCCGAGTGCTTGGTTGCAAGTTCTTATCATTCCATGTTGTTTCTAATAATTCTGCTTGCCGGCTTTGTAAATTTTGGTTAATGTGGTGGGAGCAGAATAGTATCATTTTGTGTCAGTGACATTTCCCTGGCTGCAAATGACACGTGTGTTTTGAGGCCTTGTGTACTTCCTCTCTCATGAGACACTTGTAGTGTTCTTCTGTTTCTTATTGAAGTATCCTTAGTTTTTACACTGGAGACTCTTTACTGATGTCTTTTTACGTGGCTCTTTATAGCCATTTCTTTTCTTGACTGTTTTGTATTTTAATTTTTGTTATTTTAACACTGCATATTTATGGGGTACAGTGTGATAATTCCATACATGTACACAACGTGTAAGTATCAAGTCAGATAGTTTCCATCTGGGAATGTAGCTTAGGGGTGCAGTGTTCATCTAGCTTGCGCAACACCCTGGGCATCAACTTCCAGTGCCACAAAAATACTTTCTGAATAAATGTAATGGTTGTACTCATGGAGTGCAGTGATATTTCAATACATTCATAATTTACAAGATCATGTGTAGGCTTTAAAATTGATTCTGAGAGCTAATCATCTGCTAGTTAGATTTTCCCTCCTGCTGTGTAGCTTGTTTTTTTTTTTTTTTTACTCTGTTGAAGGTGCTTTTTGACAAATTCTTTTTTTAAAATGACAATGGAAACTGGTATGGAGATTCCTCAAAAAACCAAAACTAAAAATTACATTTGATTCTGCTATTCTTTAGTTACATGTGAAAAGAGTTAAAGACATATTAGTATGATTGGAAGTAGCCTATGTGTCCATCAGCAAATGAATGGATGTAGAAAAAGTGGAATTTATACATAATGGAGTATTACTCTGTGATGAAGAAGGGTAAACTTCAGTCATTTGTAGGAAAATGCATCCACTTGAGATCATAATGCTGTGTGAAATAAATCACATACCGCTAAAAGATCACACAATTTCTCTTACATGAGAACCCCAAATATAAATGAATAGCAAAATAAAAGATAATTAAAAGAAGTAGAGAGATGATAGATCATTTGCAAATGGAGGTATCAGGAAATGGAGAAAAAGGGGAAGAGGAGGAGAGGAAAGGGGGCAGAGAATGGAGACATGTTATGCACGCACGCTGCTCCCCATGAAGACAGTGATTGTTGTGTTCTGTAAACCTGGACTGATACAAATAAACCTGAGAAAGAGATAATAGAAAAGAGGGAAGCACATATGGGAGGGGGCCAAGAGTTGGAGCAAATGGGAGGGAGAGAGATTAAAAAAAGGAATTAAGGAGTGTTCTGCACATGTATCCATGAGGAGTAATAAAAAATACAAGCTGAGTAAAAAAAGACAAATTCTTAATTTTAAAGTAATGTTATCAACCAAAAGAGATATAATTTCTTGTTTAAGAAATCCTAACCTACCACAAAATAGTAAGTGTATCCTCTTACATTTTATTTTGAAGACTTGGACATTTTGGTACATATAAATGAATAGCAAAATAAAAGATAATTAAAAGAAGTAGAGAGATGATAGATCATTTGCAAATGGAGGTATCAAGAAATAGTATCAATACTATTTTGTAGTAGGTTACATTTGGTTTTGGTATGAGGAGTAGAACTCAGGACCTTGTGCTTATGAGCCAGGTGCTGTGCCACTGAGCTATATCCCTGGCCCTAACATTTATTATCTAAGTACATTTTGAGTTCATTTTTGTGTATGGTATATGTATCCTCCAAAGAGAAGACATTACAAAGCTGATGTACTAATCAGCATTGGGCTGCTATAACAATCAGTGTGAGGCTAGGTACAGTATAAAGAAAAGTTCTCTTTAGGGCAAAGATTTGGAGTCTGAAAGTTCCTGATCAGGTGGCTCTATCAACCCAGCCTCTGGTGAGAGCCACTTTGACAGGGTCAAGTGGCGGGACGGCACTGCAGCAGTGGAAGTCCCAAGGGAGGACATGACGTGGAAACCACAGAGATGCAGTGACCAGGCTTACTATTTTTATATCAGCTCCTTCCAGGAACTAGCTGGGGTCCCACAGAAACAGGGTACATTAATTCCTTCCAAGGTCAGTGCCCGCCCCCATGACCAAATCACCAAATCACAGTGCGCCACCTTTTGGACCGTTGGGAGATGCGCCATATCCAAGTCGGAATACTTAAAAGAGTACTTGAAAGAGTAGAGAGTACTTGAAACTGCTGGTTCCGTTCTTTAATGAATATACTATTGTTTGTATTTGCTCGCTTCCATGAGTCGCCTTTGGTAACTTATTGTCTGCTGAGAATTTGTCTGTGTCCTTGCTTTCAATCTCATCGACGTAAAAGTGCTCTTAATATGCTATTGTTGTGTCTGTGTGGCTGAAGTGTCCCAAGCGATCCACTTTTCCTTCCTAATACTGTTTGTCCTTGTCAGCACATGATCATCTTTCCTGAGGTTTGACAATGGTGCTGTTCTTTCCAATCAATTGACTTCTGATTTTCTTGATTCTTTCTTTTCTCTTGTGACTTACTGTCCTTTTTTCCATATTTCCTACTGTCAACTTTATTATGTTCTTCTACTTTTCAGGTTTATTCTTTTGTTCTCCAGCTAATAATTTTAGATTTCATTGATCTGTAACCATGTTTTCTTTTCTCATACATGCATTTAGGCCATAGTTTACAAAATGTTTGGCCACACATAGGTGCATTGATAAGTAGGCTTTACAAAATTATTCTATTATGAATATTTTATAATCTCCATGATTTCTTCTTTGGGCTGTGTTCTATTGTGGTTAAATATACATAATTTAAAGCTTACCACTTAGCTATTTTTTAGAAGAGTTTAGTGAATGAAAGTGATTCGTATGACTGGGCAGCCAGTACCACTGTCCACTCCAGAACCTTAAAATTCTGTCATTCTGGAAACTCTGTGCCTATTAAACACGAACTTCCCATCACCGCCTCTCCAAGCCCCTGAAAAGCACCAGTGTGCTGTCTGTCTCTGTGAATTTGACTTCTCTAGGAACTTCCTTTCTAGAATCATGCAGTATTATTTCATTGCTGCCTGGCTTCCTTCACTGAGTGTAACGCCTTTGTGCTTCATCCTTATGCTGATATGTGACATAACTGTCTTTGCTCTAGGGCTGAATACGATTTACTTGTATATTACACTATATTTGGGCTATCTGTTTATCTGTCAGACATTTGGCTTATATATGCATTCTATAACAAAACACCTGACATTGGGGACTTTATAAAGAAGAAAGGGGGTTTATTTAGCTCACAATTTTGGAGGCCGAAAGGCCAATACCCAGTGGTTTTGTTTGTGGGTCTCCTTGGCTGCCTCACATGCCAGATGACACCACAGGGAGGCAGTGAGAGAGAGAGAGCAAGACCCAGATCACAAGGCAAGACAGGAAGCCAGAGAACAGGGAGGGGCCAGGCTTGTCCACCGGGAACAGCCTCCCTGAAAACCCCTTCCATTCCTCCTCCTGAAGGCAGTACACCACACAGTGACCTCCCACGAGGCCTTGCCTCTTACAGGACACCCACTTCTCACATCCCCACACTGGGGACCAAGCTTCCAACACACATACCTTTGCAGCACAAATCACACCCAAGCCATTGCAGACTTTTGCACCTCGTGGCCCTTGCAAATAACAC